CAGGCCAAGCAGCATCAGAGGAGCAGGAAAGCTGACGTTTCGGGTCTAGACCCTTCTTCAGACCCTTCTTCTGAAGTAGGTTCTAGACCCGAAATGTCAGCTTTCCTGCTCCTCTGATGCTGCTTGGCCTGCTGTGTTCATCCAGCTCTGCACCTTGTTATCTCATATTCTCCAGCATCGACAGTTCCTACTATCTCGGTTTCACCCTATCCACCCTGTTTGTGCCCATTGTAACTTTGTACGTCTCAATCAGATGGCCCGCTCAGCCTTCTGTACTCTAAGGAAAGCCATCCCAGCCCATCTGCTCTCCTCTGCATTTCAGGTTGACCCCTACAGGGGTTGCTCATGTCCAATGGGTGTGGGGACCCTTTCCCTCCTCCTCATTTGGGATGTGGGAGCCCATACGTATCACCTACCATAAAGGATTAACACGGCCTCTCTCTCCCACCAATGCCAGCTGCTTACAGCCATGGGAGGAATATTTATCTGCCTGTGAATCCTTTCCACTTATTCAAACTATTAGTTCCAAGGGAAAGTGTGTGATCACACTCAAATCCATCCTGACACAGAGTTTAGTTTTAAAATTCATTTGCAGGATATCAATTATAGGCAAGGCCAGAATAATTGTCTATCCCTAATGACCCTGGAAATGTCTGTGAACCGCCATCTTGAACTGCTGCAGCCCATGTGGGTGTATGTATGTGCTGTAAGCGAGGGAGTTCTATGGTTCACACTCCATGGTTCAGGTCAGCAGCAATGGCCTGAAACTCATGATAGGGAGCAGGAGGGTGGGGATCTTTGTTTTCAGCAACAGTGACCCATACTCTGGATTGTTGCCAAGAATGGAACAAAAGCTGTGGAGAATTCACTAACGTCTTTATTGCTTTCCAGGTTCAACTCGCTCCCGAGGCCGATCCCACAGCAATTGTCCAGCCCGGACTTTGGGAGCCAGACTGATGAGAAGGTGGAGCAGGTGACCAGCATTGGCCAGATCAAACCGGAACTCTACAAGCAGAGGTCCATCGACACGGAGGCAAAGAAGCACCAGAAGGTGAACTGCGGACGGATAAACTTCCTGCTGAAGTACACGTACGCCACGGAGCAACTGGTGGTCAAAGTCCTAAAGGCCCTTGATCTGCCAGCCAAAGATGCCAATGGATTCTCTGACCCTTATGTGAAGATTTACCTGCTCCCTGACCGCAAGAAGAAGTTCCAGACCAAGGTGCACCGCAAGACGTTGAACCCAGTGTTCAATGAGACCTTTCAATTCAACGTCCCGTTTAATGAGCTGCAGAACCGCAAGCTCCACTTCAGCATCTATGACTTTGACCGTTTCTCCCGTCACGACTTGATCGGGCAAGTGGTGCTGGACAACCTGCTGGAATTCTCTGACCTTTCCGAGGGAACACCCATGTGGCGGGACATCTTGGAAGCGACATCGGTGAGTTGCATTGGATTTTCCGCATTGGGTGAGTCGGGATCTGTGGAATGACGGGGAGGCGATAGCCTAATGGTGTTACCACTAACCATTAGTCTAGAGACCCAGTAATATTCTGGGGACCTGGGCTCAAATCCTACCAGTAGATGGTGGAATGTGAATTCAGTAAAAATCTGGATTTAACAGTGATATGGTGCACTTCTGTCAGTCGTTGTAAAAATTCATCTGGTTCATTCATGTCCTTCAGGGAAGGAAATCTACCATCCATATTTAGTCTGGCCTACATGTGACTCTAGACCCACAGCAATGTGGTTGCCTGGCCAATGGGCAATTAGGCATGGGCAATAAATAGCCAGTGGTACCCATATCCTGTGAATGAACGTTTAAAAAAGGTTTTCCGTACCCATTTCCTCCCTCACCCCTCCCCATCCCTTCACTTTCCACTCAACTTGGCTCAGCGCCTTCTCCCTCTCTCCACCACCATGTCTTCTCCATCATGAGCAGATGATGTACCGAGGGAGTGCTGCTCTGTCAGAGCTGCCAATGAGATGTTAAGACATGGCCTCTGTCTGCCTTCATCAAATGGATGGAAAACATCCCATGGACATGATTTGGAGAGTAGTTCTTTCTGGCACCTGAGCCAATATTTAAGCCTTTGTGTTCCCAGAAGGATAGGAATTTTTTTTTAAAACGGGGTGGGCCAAGAGAGGAATTCACTGTGGTTTCCTGCTCAGACCTGAAAAACAAAAGGGCTCTCTCGTCCTAATGTCATCATCAGTATGCGACATATGCTAAAGAAGAGTGATGCAGTTGCTTGCCGAAACCTTTTTGTATGCCACTCATCGGGACACGTGTGAAAATGCCAAATTTCAAATGAGCGCATGAAATTTGCCAGGAGAAAAAGGTACTGATTGATTGGCTAGTCAACTCTGATTGGCTGAGGCATTGGCCCTGGAGAAAGTCATGAGGAACAAGAGACTCCGAGATAATGTAAAAAGGTGCGCGGCTTGAACACTTTCCCCTCGTTTGCAGAGATCAGTGCCCTGAACTTATGTCAGTTTTATCAAGTGTAACTGAGCCACATTATGGGCTTCACTGATTATCTTAAGTTGGTTGTTAGCGCAAGTATTAGCACACTTGGGATCGTTCAGCAAGTGTTTGTCTCAATGAATGCAAGATGAAAATCTTTGGTGACCTCCCTCTTTCTGACTATATTGAACACACAGGCTTTGATGTTCTATCAATGGATCAGACACATCCTAACTGAATGGTGAAGCCCTGGTCTGAATAATCAACTCCTACCCTCTTGTTCCTAAGGGGTTAACTTTAGATGTCTTTAAAATTATGAAAAGTTTCAATGGGAAGCTGTAGAGGAAGTATTTCTCATTAAAGGGAAGACAAAAAATAGGGCTCGTACATCATGAATAAATCCAACAGAAAATGTAGGAGAATGCCTAATCCACAGATTAGCATAGATGTGAGTGTAATACAGCAGTGAGTAATTGAGCAAAGCGATATCGATTCATTTAAGGGGAAGGCAGATAAGCACATGAAGGAGGAATGAAGATATGTTGATTAGTTAAGGTGGGTTAGGTATTGAGCAGGTTTGTGTGGATCAGAAGCAGCGTCATAAATCAGTCGGGCACGTGGAGTATTGCTGCAAACGTAAGTGCAATCCTAATGGCCTACATAGGCCACACATTGACTGACTGAGCCAGGGATCTGTTGCAGTTTATTTTAAAAAGATGCTCATGCTAAATATTTCTGGGTGGTTGCGAATATTTAGCAGGTAGCCGCGCACTCTTGACGACGAGGATTGACTTTTCCTTGGGAGATGTATCAGGTGACAAGGTGATCTGTTGGACCCCAAGAGGTGATTGGGTGAGCCTTGAGCGTGCTGACAATAAAAAGATAAGAAGTAGCAGCAGGAGTAGACCATTCGGCTGCTCGAGCCTGCTTCGTTGCCCAGTATAATCATGGCTGTGCTAAATGGATCCAAACTACATGGTGAAGTACGAAACAAGATGATTATCTTTCCTTGATAGTAGGTTTAGTCACAGGCTGCAGCTTTTATAGACCTTTCACCTTCTAAACACAAGCCCAGTGTCCCATCTGACTCTTGCTACTCTTTCAAGTAAATTACATAAATTAACAAACTAGTTAACTAAAGAGCCTTCCTCTAAAGAAGCATTTTAAACCAAAACTTATTTAATTTTAAATAAAAGTACCACTTTGGGAGTTAGTGATGCACTCCAGTCCCTGTGGTACCCGCTGTTTATGAAAAGTCTCAAACATGGCAGTGAGCATCACCTCTCCAGGGACACTGGGCATTGATGTAATTACAGAGGAGAGATTGGTGGTAGTCTATGAGGATCCCCTGTGCCCCACTGCCTGGACATGTGAATGGCCACTCGGCCAAAGCAAAAACCCAGTTGCTGCAGCCAACCACACGGAGAGCAACTTCTTCCCATCAGGGAATTCTAACCCCTGTCTCCCGCGTGACGTGTGGGAACACCAATCACAATAGAGGTGAGGTGAAGAAGAATGACCAGTTTGCTCCTCTGAACGTCCTTTTAAAAAATAATCAGATTAAAGGGTAACAGCGCCTTAAGGGTCACTGCGGCAAACATCAAATGTTGAAATTAAGCTTCCAAAATTTAAATGAAAATGTCACATCGAGTGGAGCTGATGCATTGTGGCACCTGTGGTTCCCACTAGTTGTGGAAGACCTGAGATGTACCATGTGCTCCCTCTGCAGGGATTCCCAGGCCACAGAATAGGGACTAAATAATCCCAAGGTCCACTTATTGGCCAGAGATGTTAATGACCTCCTTAGCCAGGCTCCACAAGGAGACCTTCAAACTTGCCTGTACCTCTCTGCAGCAGTGGGGGCACAGGAGGAGAGCAAAGATTAAGCATATGGGATGAGGTGCAAACAGAGTTTGTAGAGATAAAGTAGCATCTGCAGTCTATGTGGAATATAATTGCCTCGAGGCCACAGAAATTACAGGTGACCTGTGAAGCAACTTAACCTTCTATCATATGGGAGTGCTGCATGCAGTACTCTGATACCAAATCCCTAATGGGGGAGGAAGGACTCCCAAGTAAAGAGCCTCCCATCAGGGTCACCAGCTACCTGGCACTCTTAATACATTTTTCCTGATCAACCTGTTTGAACGTGTTATGACACACCTCTGCAGCAGGTGAGATTTGAACCTAGGCTTCCAGGCTCAGAGATAGGGACACTACCTCTGCACCACAAAAAGCCATAACTGGACACTTTATAAATATTCCGTAGTTGACCTGTTCAGAGATGTGATAACACACCTCTGGAGCAGTTGGGGATTTGAACCGAGATTTCCTGGCTCCGTAGGGTAACAGCATGTAGGGACTTGACCACTGCATCATAAGTCTCCCAAACCAAACACTTTACATCTGATCCCAGTACTTAATAGATCAGTGCCGTCATTTGTGCATCTTAAACTAGATAATCAACAAATTGTTAACAGCAGATCCTCAACTTCAACTCCTGCCTGTGCCCCCCCAACACACACACACACACACACACACACACACACACACAAACACAAAGCATCCAAACATCCCTCTATTTTCTGAGAAGTCAAAAATCAGTGTCTCATTGACAAAGCCCTCAGAAATATTTATGGGTGAAGAGGAGGTGAGAGATTGAAATCATTCTGCCTAACCTAAAGTTCAGAGTCCAGGAATTTGCTGATTGAGGGCCTACTCTCGGTCCTAATAAGATAGAACTTTAATCTCACTTTATAAGCCAACTCTCTCAACACCACTGCACTCAATTCATTCACCTGTGGTCAAGGCCTAAACGATTGTTTCTTTTTTATATATTATTCACTGAATCTTCTCTTTAGCCACGAGCATACAGTGGAGACAGTTGCAGAATGATCCCTTGGAGCCACTTTACAGTGTTTCCAATTTAAATTACTGTCAGATTTTGACCCATTTCCCTGGGACACAGAAGGAATGGAAGCATGCAGCCTGTCCTGTGTGTTATCCTGTTCAGCTCTCCAGCTGCATTGGTAATGGCTACGAGCAGAAGATGTGCAGTTTGCTTTACAGCCAACTGTTTCTCTGCAGGGACCTGAATCAAGCCAAAAGTCTGCACAGATGGAGGCCATTTGGCCCACTGTGCTTGTGCTGACTCTTTGAAATGAGAGATCTGGCAAGTCTCACATCCTCCTCCACTCTTTGGCCTGCATCCCGGGAAATTTTCTCCCCGTTGAGTATTTAACCAATTCCATTTTGGAGGTTATTATTGAGTCTGCCCATTCTCGATTATGACAACTGAAACTGTCAGCTTCCCCTCTGGCACTTAGCTAGGCACATCAGCTTTTAAAAGCTGAACCGATATGATTCTGTAATGTGCATTTTTTGGGGGGGAGTAGATGCGGGGGAGGGGGGGATTACAGTTCACTCAGGAGTCAGTGTTGCTGTGGCAACATACACTTTTTACCTACATGTTGCAGCCTGGAGCTACAGAGGTAGAGGCTCCAACGGTCTTTCCCTCACACGGCTGGCCAGGAATCTCTCCCTCTCCCTTATTGCCTGTCGTTGGTGTGTGTCGGAAGGATTTGCAGTTGATAGTCAAATAAAAGCAAGATACTGCAGCTACAGGATATCTGTAATGAAAAGGGAGAACGCTGGAGAAACTCAGCAGGTCAAGCAACATCTGTGGAGAGAGAAACCAAGTTAACGTTTCAAATCTGATGTGACTCTTTTTATGACTGATATTCAAACTGTTTGGCAGTGTTGGCAGAGAAGGTGGCATGGTCACAGACTGGTGTACAGAGACCCAGATGAATGCTGTGAGGACACAAGTTCAAATCCTCCACAGTTGCTGATGAAATTTAAATTCAATTAATGCATCTACAGGGCAAAGCTCCTCATGGTGGGGTGGGGGGGTCAGTTAGCTCAGTGGACAGTTTGCACCGCAGAGTGATGCCAAAGTGTGAGTTCAATTCCTG